ACATCAATAAGTACAAATCTGAAGCAAGCTTTTCTAACAGCAATGATGGGTACAACTGCTCAGCAAAAAGAATTAGCAGAGCAAGCTGCAACTGTTGTAGCTACCGATAATATGGAACTTGCTTGCGCGTTTGTACAAAAAACAGCTGTTGAAAAAGCAATACCAGAGATGGACAAACGTTTGCTCAATGAAATTGAATTAAGAAAAATTGCACGACAGGAAGGAAGAAGATATTGTGATCCTTTAGCTAAATATCAAGCTGAAAGAATGCCAGAACAAATTCGATTAAAAGTTGGTGGAGTAACTCCTCAACAAATGGCTGTGTATGAAGAATTTGCTAGAAATATTCCTGGATTTTTGCCATTATCTGAAAGAGATACTCAAGCGCTTTTCGTGCCAAAACCAGTGACGGTAATCTTTTAAATTTAATTTATTCTTTTCATAATATCATTAATATTAATTCTTTTCTATATTTTCGTTTTTAAGGAAACTACTGTAACTCCGTTTGCTACTAATTCAGCCGTTGCAGTAGCAACAGCACAACAAGTAGCTGCTTACGCAGCTGCTGTAAGTAACGATGAAGTTGGAGCGATGTTAGAAAAACTAGCAGCCGAGGTAGACGTCCTGCTTTCTGCAATGGGTCCAGCAGCACCGCCTCAACATCATGTAGCACTTCATAGTCTTTTAGAATCTATTATTCATACTAGAAGATCAAGGGATGCAGGTGCTGCAATGACGCTTCTGAAAAAAGTAAGAACTCCTCCATAATACTAAATATATGGAACTAATAATATTTATTAATCCCTTGCACTATTTTCACAAGTCTGATTCGTGATGAAAATTTTAGACCGAACATGAATATCACGAGCTGTATTCGTGGTCTTAATCTCGGGCCAAACAAAAACGTCTGAATGGGCTCGTATCTCTCTTCTTTTCTCTTCTTTATATGAATGAGTATTTTATATCTTGTGTCCCAATGCAGTTTACGTGCTACTTAGGATACATTGTCGTAGTTAAGATAATATTTGAAAACGTAGTAAATATATGCATTCGACGAGGTCAAGAAAACTTCAGTCGTTCTTCAGTTATTATTATTCCATTAAACGAGGTGTACACGTTTCGTACAGTCTTCTTCACAAAAAATAATATTCTTGATTATTTCTAATTTTGTCAAAGCCTCCAGCATGTATAAAAAAAGGAGCAAAAAGATTTTGATTCAAATTCATTTGAATTTCACAAGAACACCATCACATCTAGTAAACACGAGCGCGGCTATTTTACACTCAGTCGTAAGATATCGTGTTTAAAGTTATGACTCTCTGGTTCTGTCGCTTCGACTCTTTTTGCGACCATTTGCGTGCATAGGTTAGGCACGACTTATTCCGAATTTCAGCATAGTGTGCAAGAGGTTAAAAATAAATTTATTGTCAACGAATATTCCAGGCTGTCGAAGGATTGCTGGATGGTCCTACTATATCTAGTGGAGTGATGGATTCAGAAATAATCCTACGTTATAGAGAACTTCATTTACGTATTCTGAAATGTCTTCAAGATCCACGTGCTTATGGTATGCAGTGGACAAACAAACACGTCACTCGTTTCTTAACGGAATGTAGAGAAGATTTTCGTTATAACTTTGAAGCAGTGGATTGTTTGATAAGGTATATTTAAACATATAAAACTTAACAGTTACAGCATATAATTCACAATGGTAATTTATATGAAATTATATGAATGTTTTAACTTTTTAGATCTCATTTGATCAGTCTTCCACAGTATGATTTATCTCTAGCGCAAGCTATGGATGCTAGTAATGCTATGGCAACTGCATTTGCTATGCAGTTGGTTCAGCTATACCTTATTGATGAGAGACAAACGACACATGTAACAGAATCTGATCTGTTTCACACGATTGAAATACTTGTGAGAATTGCACATCATAGAGCTCCACCAGAAGGGTAAATATTGTACTAATATTAGAGATATTGCATTATGTTACAGTGTTTCTTTTTATGTGTTTCCTATAGAATTCCACTCTTTAGACTTACCAGTCTAATAGAATCCTTACGTGCAAACCATGACCCTGCAGTACTAGCCGATCGTGCACCTGCAGGACCGACAGCACATATCCATTCTGGAATTCTCCAGGTGAGAGTAAGTAAATTCTGCGGTATTTTAGGTTCAAAGATATTAGTTTTAATTTGTTATTTATTTCATACTTCTTAATTACAGGCCCGTGATTTTGATGATCCGCCAGGATTAATGGAGAAAACTGAATATTTATTACGTGAATGGGTTACAATGCATCATAATCCTACTAATTCTCGTGATCCTACTAAAGCATTTGGAATGTTCGTTCATCAAATGAATATCCATGGAATTTTAAAAACGGATGACCTCATAACTAGATTTTTTAAATTAAGCACTCAAATGTGCGTGGACCTTTGTTATCGTGCATTAACTGAAACCAATGCGGTTGCTTCAGTTGTTCGCGCGAAATGTTTTCACTCGTTAGACGCTTTTGTGCGCTTAGTTGCACTATTGGTAAAACATTCTGGTGATACAACAAATACTCATACGAAAATCAATTTATTAAACAAAGTACTTGGAATAGTTGCTGGAGTATTATTACAAGATCACGAAATGCGTGGAACAGATTTCCAACAATTACCATACCATAGAATTTTCATCATGCTCTTCTTAGAGCTTTGTGCTCCTGAACCTGTATTAGAAGCAGTCAATTACCAAGTTTTGACAGCCTTCTGTCATACGTTACATATATTAAGACCTGCCAAAGCTTCAGGCTTTTGTTATGCCTGGTTGGAGCTCGTTTCCCACAGGGTTTTCATTGGACGTATGCTAGCTATTACTCCCCAACAAAAATGTTGGGGAATGTATGCTCAACTTCTCATTGACTTATTCAAATATCTTGCTCCTTATCTGCGCAACGCAGAACTTGCAAAACCCGTAACGCTTCTGTACAAAGGTACTCTTCGAGTATTACTCGTATTACTTCACGATTTTCCAGAGTTCCTTTGCGATTATCATTATGGATTTTGTGACGTAATTCCACCCAATTGTATACAAATGAGAAATCTTATATTAAGCGCATTCCCAAGAAATATGCGCTTGCCTGATCCATTTACTCCCAATTTAAAAGTTGATATGCTTCAAGAAATTGCCCATGCTCCAAGAGTGCTAACTAATTTTGCTTCCATGATTCAGCCACTCAGTTTTAAAAAGGAATTAGATTCTTATTTGAAAGCTCGTGCACCAGTTACATTCTTGTCAGAATTACGCAGCAATCTACAAGTATCTCAGGAAGCTGGTGTAAGATATAACATTCAGTTGATGAATGCTTTAGTTCTTTATGTTGGAACCCAAGCAATTTCCTTCATACGTAGTAAAGGCCATACACCTAACATGTCTACAATCGCGCATTCCGCGCACATGGACATATTCCAAAATCTTGCTGTCGATCTTGATACCGAAGGTCGTTACTTATTTTTAAATGCTATTGCTAATCAACTTCGCTATCCCAATAGCCATACACATTATTTCAGTTGTACGCTACTTTATTTATTTGCTGAAGCCAATACTGAAGCAATACAGGAACAAATTACGAGGGTCCTTCTCGAAAGACTCATTGTCAACAGACCTCATCCTTGGGGCCTTCTTATTACATTCATCGAACTCATTAAGAATCCTACATACAAGTTCTGGACGCACGAATTTGTTCATTGCGCCCCAGAAATAGAAAAGTATGTTTTGTAGATATTATCTTTTTTTATTTTTATTCTTATATATAAGAGACCGTTAAAACATATAATTTTTATTGCAGGTTGTTCGAATCGGTAGCTCGATCATGTATGGTTCAAAAACAAGTGCAGCCTACACCCGAATCGGAAATTCCGGAGTGATAAGATATTTTGTTTTCCATTGTCTATTTATGTACAGTAAACAAAACAAACGAACAATCGTAAATAAGTAAGTGTAAAAAGTTGTTATTGTACGAATAGATGTACCATACATTGGGCATAATATTTCTTGATGGTTAGGTATTAAATATATATATATAACATATATGTGTGTATATATGTGTTTATATTATAATGCATTTTCGGGAAGGGACACGAAACAGCTATTCTCA